CACGTGTTTGGAGGGAAGCAGCTTTTCCGGCTGTCAGCACCCTGGACAGCTCCTCACTCAGACCCCACCCCACTGATCTGGAGCCGGGGGTGGGGGGTCTGCTGAGTCCGTCTCAGTGCAGGGACTCGTTCAGACTCTGTTCACTGGGGGAACTCCGGCTCATGTTGGACAAGCTGGCCATGAGGGATTTCACTTTGTGCGCGTAATAGTTCCTCAGGTTGACGGAGGGAACCTCCTTGACGCCCTCGTCGAAATCGCAGCTCCTCATGGCGATCTCCAGCTGCTTCTGTCTTTTGTAGAAGAGAGAGAACTTGTTGAAAATGAGCGTGATGGGAAGCACGACCACTAGGATCCCGGCCAGGATGCAGGCTGAGGCCGTCAGTTTGCCCGCTATGGAGACGGGCACCACGTCCCCGTAGCCYACGGTGGTCATGCTGACGGTGGCCCACCACCAACAGGCCGGGATGGTGGACAGGTCCTCCGTGTCCTCCTTCTCCACYGTGTAGGCGATGACGGAGAAGAAGGAGACCCCCACGGCCAGGTAGAGCAGCAGCAGGCCCACCTCTTTGTAGCTGTTCCTGAGCGTGGCCCCCAGGGAGCGCAGGCCCGTGGAGTGACGGGCCAGCTTCAGGATGCGGAAAATCCTCATCAGCCGCAGAACCTGCGCGACCCGGCCCAGGTTGGCCAGCGCCGGGCTGCTCTCCACCACCAGGTTTATGAGGAGCGTCAGGTAGAAGGGGAGGATGGACACCAGGTCGATGACGTTCAGCGGGTGGTCGAAGAAGTGCAGCAGGTCCGGGGCCACGGCGAACCGGGCCACCAGCTCCAGAGTGAACCAGGCGATCCCGAAGTGCTCCACGGTCTCGAACCGCGGGTCCTCCATGGGCTGACCCTCAGGGTCCAACAGGCTGAACTCACTCATGCTGTTCATGCACATGGTGGCGATGGAGCCCAGCACCACCAGGATGGACAGGACGCTGATGATGCGGCTGGCCACGGAGTAACCCGGGTTGTCCAGCATCAGCCACACGCGCCTCCGCGCGCTCCCGCACACCTGCTTGTCGAACTTGGTGGCGTCGTTGTAAAACTCCAGCAGCTCGTCGAAGGACGACGTGGTGCTGCCCTCGTCGCTGCGCTCGTCCCAGTCCTCCCGGTCCTGGTCCATCTTCCTACAGTGGTAGGCGCTGCTGCAGCACGAGTCGATGAAGAACTCGTTGATGCCCCAGTACTCGATCTCCTGGCTGAAGGAGAAGATGCACAGCTCGGCCATGACGTGCAGCCGCCCCGTGTTGTAGAAATTCAGCACGTACGGGAACAGAGCCGGGTTTCTGTCGAAGTAGAACTCCTTCTCCGCATCGTCGTAGTCGTCGCACAGCTCCAGGATGGACTCGGTGGACCGGCACTGGAGGAGGCGCGCGAGCCTGGTCTCGGGGAACCGGGAGAGGGTGTCAGACTGGAGCCGCTTCTTGAAGCCGCCCACGTTGATGCGGATGGCCGCGCGGTCCTCCGCGTKAGCCCCGCTGCCCGGATCTTCCAGGACGTGACCCGTCATATCTGGAAACACGCACGCACATTCACGGACGCGCGTGGCACACAATAAAAAAAGGACACTGAATGGAAACACGGGAATGTTTCATTGTTCTCCACGTGCTGTTCTACAGAACTAAACTTACTTTAAGGTTCGCTCAGTTCGCTTGGTTCTCCTCCAGGAAGGATCCGTGTCTTCTCTGATGGATCATCCCGCCGTTGGGGCTTCACCCGGGGCTCTGCTCCCGCAGGAGAGACCTTTGTCCTCTGGGCTCCAAACAGGCGCGTCTCCTTTCTGTTACCATGAACAGAGGAGGAAGATGAGGATGAAGAGGAGGAGGAKGACGCTCTCCCMGAACGAACCGGCGCGCTGTTAAAAAAAGATTTTCTCTCCAAACAGAGAGGACCCGCTCCGCCAACAGCCTCACATCCACCCGCAGGGAGGCTGGCAGCAGCTGCTCTCTCCTCTCATCCCGCATGCTCTCACACCGCCTCCAGCCGCGGGTACGAGCCACATCTCTGCCTGTGCATCCTGGGAGCCATTAGAGGAACCGCGATGCTGGTTTTTATTTTTATTGTTTTAAGCGAAGAGGAGGAGTGATGATGGGGGGGATTCCTTTTTGTTTCCCTGTTCGTGCGCTCTCTCTCTCTCTCTCTTTCTCTCTCTCTCCTCTCTCTCTCTCTCTCTGTATCTTCTTTTCTATCTGTTGCTGCGCAGCAACACGTAGCTCTCTGTCTCCCTGCGCCTGGACCGCCCTCTGTGAGCTCAGCATCACGGAGCTGAGGGGCGCGGCGAGGCGCGTGTGTGCGCAGGGAACCACCAGACCTGATCACCAAAACCCCTCAGGGACAGAGTCATCCAGAGGACACCACGGGAAGGCAGTGTYACTGAAAACTTTCTGTCACTGTAACATTACCAAAAACAACACTGAGGTGTTATTTGTGCCAGAAGATTTTTGAAACAACGACGCAGCAGCTGCCATAAATAACTTAACTCTGCAGGAACGAAAATAGAGTCAAACGTTTTGCTGTCTGAGCTGAAGGRGGGTAAAGAGAAACAAGATCAGAAGAAATGTTAAAGCTGCTGCCAGAGGTTCGTCACCACGGTAACCACATCCTGTGTCTGTCACTCCCTGAATGCCAAGTTAATGAGGCGGACAGAAGTTAAGCCTCAAACAATTTAAATGATCGTTTAATTAATTTTACCTGAGTGGCTGAACATTGACGGTCACAGGTTTGTGCGTAAGAGTTAAAATAAAATGACTGTCCACTTTCAATTCTGATGAGAACTTTTGGAGCTAAATATAACTTAATCTGTGGAAACTTGGCTCCTAAACTCTCCTGTGGGGATTTGAGAAAACAGTACAGCAGTGAGAGACACGCTGGGTCAACAACAAAAACAGCTCGGTTTGTTTGTGTGCCAAAAAAACAGTTGTGTGGGTAAGAAAATAAGGAATATTTTAGACATTTGAAAAGTTGTGACATCATCACCTGTCAGCTGAACAAGGGGATAAAAATGATATTGACCTAATTTGTGTAAAACCCTAAAATATACAGTGGGTAAAATAAGTATTAAACACGTCACCATTTTTCTCAGTAAATATATTACTAGAGGTGCTAATGACAT